TACACATATCGTAAGTATCAACATAACTCGTAGTGTGTATAACAAACATATATAACAACCTATTGCTAACTTTGCTCATCTCATACATAATTTCATTCACATACAAAATTTGGCTTTCACATACAAAATTTGTCTAACATCATTACATATGTTTTTCCATGTGTCTCATGTAAGCCACTGTCAACACATCTCTCCTTTATTTTGATCATGGCTTATGAGATCGTTTAATATTCTCATATGTTCTCTATCTCCAACAACCTATATTCAAATTGTTAGTATGTTAACCACAACATTCAATCTACGACTTTTAACTTTTTAACCACAAAGTAATTTTTCATTCCACTTACCAAATCATCCGTTGACCCTCTAGCAACTATCTCTTCCATCCGTATAATCACATAAATGTCGTAATCATGTCTGTTAAAAAATTTGATTACCACACATTTCAAATATGAAACGGCATAAATTATACGTTCAATTTATGCTAACATTACATACCCATTCAATTGTGAATTCATCTTATGCTCCACAAATTTAAAATCTTTCAATGGAACATTCAGATGCCCTCACGCATTTACAAAAATGTCTTCCTTATTAAATTTATCTAATATGGTCATTTGTGTGAAAAAATATCAAGTTATATTACAAATAAATTATGCATTATAAATTATTGTTTCCTTTCATACATACCAATTTTCTAGCATCTTTCACACTCATTTTGGCCCCTGACATTGTAAATAAGCTATCGTATACCGTTGAAACATAAGAATCCATTTCCAACACCAACATATACCAATGTGTACCATTTTCGTTTATTGTCACAAGGATCTACAATAAATGTCACACCCAATTTGACAAAATTCAACATTTCTTTATAAATAATTACATACAAAACACCAATTGCAATTTTTATGGTATCTTACCGTGTCATAGTCAGTTGATTTTGAATAGTCTTTCAATATCATCTCCCAAAAGGCTGCAACATGGTCAACACTTGCAATTTATTCCAACGACATATTTTGTATTTTCTCCACAATCATTATTAATTGACCATCTATAACACTACTTTTCAACATTTATTAATTTAACTCACCGCTAAGTTGTATGGAATGTAGCCAATCTTCTAATTCCCCTGTATCTTATTTGAATCGTAAACCAACACCCAGTTGACCAAATCAATGACCTAACAAAATTTATTACACTATTACAACATATTCACTAGGTTTTAACAATTTATAATTTCTACTTACCACACCGCTAACCCATGTCATAGGCTTCAATGTTACAACGTCGGCTACTAAGGCGTATTGATTTCCCAATTGGATTACAACATCGTTGTATGAGGAATTTGATTAATATTTTGTCATAAAATAATTCAATATCACTCAGAAAATAATATATTTCACTGACCTTGATTATAACCCACTATTTCATATATATTCACACATTCCACTTTTATATGCACCAATTTCTCTTGGTATTTTCATTTTTTCAACCTACAATTGTGCTTACAAATATTAGTCAAAACACAATAATAAAAATCAAATTCAGTTTTCTTTTATTCAGCTTACCTTCTGCTGCTTCTTCTTAGGTGCAAAACATTCTGAATCTAGTTCAGCATCCATTACAATCTCTGGTGTCCGCATAACATTAACATCCTTCTTCCTCACTTCATCCTTTTTAAATTCATCATATATTTTCCTCCACATAATTCTTTATATCATTTATTTCAGCCTTCATTTTTTCCCCTTCATCCAATTTTTTCTTACAACTCCATCACCCCTTAAATTCAACCCTCAATTCCACCACTTCTTTCACCACTCCATCAATTTTTCCACCCACTTCCCCCTTAAGGCTCTCAATTGCCTCTTCGATTCTGGATTGTTTTTGCAAACAATCAGAAATGCCTTTTTTTAGTTCCGCCAACTCATCCATCAAAATGTCAAATTTACTTGAACTGCCCTGACCATAATCCCTCTACTACCTTTTCTTCTTTCTTCTCTTTTTCCTCTTTCACTTCTACCTCCTTGTCAATAACCTTCAAAATTAAATTACAATATTAATACATTGAATTATATTCTTAATATTATATAATTATTTTTATTACCCTTTCTTGCTTGCTCGGTCTTTCCAATTTCAACTTTTCCATCACTCTAACTACTTCTTCCTTCCCCCATGCACGGATACGTGCTACTCTGATTCTTTGGAATGCCGACACACTTGAACAGTCAGACAAAAAATCAAACAATACAACCTGCATTTATAATTAAATTTATCATTTTATATAATAATTATACTATCATTTTATATACAACCCAACACGTCCTTTAAATCATTTACCTCTAAGATTGATATGCACCCTTTGAGGTATGTTTGTTTTTGGCCCTTCTAAAAGCTAATTATTGATTCAATCAATTTGACATGGACATATTCAGCTCAATTCAATTCACCTTGCAAGCTTTCATCACAAATCAACTTCATATTGTCCTTGCTCAGGGACGTGTCACCCGTTGGACAAAGAAAGATTCTGATAAGGCACAATAGTACTCGGGCCTTCAGGTTATCCCCTTCGTAAGCTCTGCTTTTAATTTCCTCTTCAAGTCCAGCATATGTTACCTTAGGCTTTAAATCATATTTCATCGCAAGTGCTTTCTAGTTCTTTGTCTTAATGACTTCTTCAACACTATTGTCTTTATTTTCTAGCCCCCAGATGGCTACAACACATGGGACCCCCCAGAGGAAATGAATAATCACCATATTTAACTCTACATTGTTCTACATCAAATTCCTTCATCAATGATCGACACAATTCCCTCTGAATTGGTCAATCCCTTACTCTGATCAAAGATCCAAACCTCATTCTTCCAGCACATGAACTTTTTTCTTCTTCTTCAGGTGTTCAATTATGGAATTCAGTCTTTTGATGCTACACCTTGTCGACATTTCCTACATTTTTAAAAAATATATAATGTTATTGTTTTTATATATCTTTTATCACAGTATTTACAAGTTTAATGAGTACCTTTTTTTCATGTGCTTTCCTCCAAGCTTTGTATTGTTGTCTATCCTTTTTGGACCGTGTCACGTACGGTTCCTTCTCAGCATTGCTCATCGACTTCCATTTCTCCAATACCTCATGTTTCACCTAAAATTAAGCATAAATGTTTCTTAATCAATACATTAATGCTAAATAATAATCAATGTCAATTTCATTTTACATACCGAACCAATGTTGTGATTACCAACTTTCTTCATCCTTTGGCATTCAGTCATACTGTCAACATTTAAAATTTGTAATCAATTTAAATTTCTTAAATAGTTTAAACCAATTATCATTTTAAAAACAATAACAAAAATACATTGATACTTACTAGAAGTGCATATATCCACTCAATTGTTGCTTTCAGTGTGCTTCATTGTTGATACTCTCGGACTCAATTTCAATGTCATCTTCACAAACAACAATTGCAACATCCGTTGACTTCATTTTTCCTTTATATATCAATTTATGAACATTCAAGCATTAAATTAACGCAAATCAAATCAAATACATGTTACATATAGTTTATTCAATATACAAGTATCGATAACTAATCTTATAGTAAAACGGTTTCCTTCAAAGGAATCATAATACTCTCTAGTACAAGTATCGGTACATTTATACAACCTACAATATTTTTTCTACCTATAATATTATATACAAGTACCAATATTTATTTTCTTCCTATAATATCACTTTCTAACTTTAATCGGTCCAAAATCCTTCTTTGCTTCAAAATCCCCAAACCCATAAACCCTAATCCCTATTTTTAAATACTATCATACTAAAAAAAACTAGGGTTTCCTTCAAACGAATGTGAATACTCTCTACTACAAGTATCAATATATTTATACAACCTACAATATCATTTTTTACCTATAATATTATATAAAGTTATCGATATTTATTTTCTACCTATAATATCACTTTCTACTTGTAATCGGTCTCAAATGCTTTTTTACTTCGAAAACCGCAAACTCATAAAACCCCTATTTCAGATTACAGTAATAATAAAAAAACTAGGGTTTCGACAACGTACGTTTCAATTCGACTGTAACAACAAACAAACAACTACGCTTTAAAAATGCTTTCCTTCTATTTCGAAGCAACTAATACGCTTCGATTTCGAAAACTAAGGCCGTGTTCTATCTATTTTCAGATAAAATGTAGTTATGCCTTTGATAGTTTAACCGAATATATTATTTATATTAAATTATACAATTACCCAAGTCTCGATACTTTTGTGTAAGGTATTGATACTTTCGATACATTTTCATTTTTTTCTTTTAAAAGTATCGATAATATGATACATATACTTATAAAAGTATCAATACCTTCAACATATTCAGTAGCGCTTTACCGGTTTTGTTATATTGAAACCGGTTTTTTTATATTTTAACCTGTTATATTGTCATGTATCGATACATGTTTCTAAAGTATCGATACTTTAAATGCCCTATTATTGAAATTATTTTAAATTCCTAAAGTATCGATAACATGATACATATACCAATTAATCAACATATATGGTATCTCTTTACTGTTTTTGTCATATTGAAATCGATTTTGTCATATTTTAACTTGTTATGTTGTTATGTATCGATACATGTTTCTAAAGTATCGATACTTTATAGGTTCTATTATTGCAATTCTTTTAAATTCCTAAAGTATCGATACAAATTTCAACAATTTAGCTATCTCTACCAGTTTTGTCAAACTTCAACCTGTTATATTATTATGTATCGATATTTTTTTTCAAAGTATTGATACCTACCAATAAGTTAAATTTATCAGTTGTCAAATTTTTTAATATTTTTTTATGATTTCCACCTACAACATTATTATTATTATTCAACATTTTTAATAACACTAAATCGATTTTATTAAATATTTTATTATATTTTCAGTAACGTCTTATATTAATCTGCTTTTTCATGGGACAACCCCAAAATTGCTCGTCTTCATCTCTTTTTCAAACAGCGCTGCTCGCCTCCTTTGTTTTTCTCTTTTTTTAACACTCAAGAACTTAGCACTCCAAATCATACGTTCCTAGCCATTTTTGGATCAAACACTAGAAAAATGATCTTCACTCGTTCATGCTTAAAACCTCATTTTGATCTTCGAAAGCGCCAAATTTTTAAATAAATCTTATTTTTTTCAAGATCAAACCAAAAATATCATCATGAAACTCAACCATATTCTTCATTTAAAATTTCTTTGATTCAAAACAAAACCCTAAATCCAACTCTCTTCTATTTTTCAAGATTTAAAACAAAAAGTCCTACCCTCTCCATCTCCGATAAAAATCGAGCACCCATGGACACCAAAATCAACCAAAAAAATACACCGATTTCCAGCCCCTAAACATAAAAAACGTTCAAATCGAAACAAATAAACATGAGAGATTCACCTTCTGTTCAAACTTCTGACAATGGTGACGTACGCGGCGACGAACGGCGGGCCTTACGATGGTAACAAACTCCAACAGCTACGAATCGGTAAAAAAAAACTCTTCCTTTTCGTATTTTTGGTTTTGCAGATAATGGCCTTTATAATGGGTGTTGATCTCTGAATATTATGTGTTTATTTATTCTGATTTAAAATCCCCTTAAGTTGGTTATTTGCTCACTGTGATTCCCGCTCATATTTGGTTATAACATATTTCGATTATGCTCCGAATTTTTTTTTTTTGGTGTTTTGGTGACTTTTGATGAAAACAGCGTCGGATCCTCCATCGGAAGAACATGCGCCGGTGACAGAAGTGCAACAGTCTGGAGAATGCTTCTGGAATGTCTTCTCTAAGCCCTTTGATCAATATTCGATCAACGGTCCTAATTCCAAATCTCAATAGCCACTGACGTGGTATTATTAATTACTTTCCTAAAAAATTGGTCCACCATTAATTGCATGTCCCCTTCAAAATTCAAGAGTCAAACTTTTCCCTCTCAAGGAAGGCAACCGGCGGCACTTATTATGAGACTAGATTTTTCTTTTTCTTTTTTATCTATTTATTTAATAAAATGTACATGAGCAAAAATATGGGCCTTGAAAAAATGTAATGTGCTAATATATTTAATAAAATGTGCTATTTTATTTTGGATTATTTTTATTTATAAAGGAAAATAAAATAGGCTTATATATAATATGGACTATTTAATATAGACCATTATTTATAATATGCAATCTATATAATATGCTAACTATATAACATGAACTTATGTAATTATTTAATGGAAACTAAATGATATGCTATATGATATACTATTATTTAATGTGAACCAAATAATATGTATTTATGTATTATCTAATGAAAATTATATACTATATACTAAACTATGTATTATATGCTATATGATATGTATCCATTTAATATTCATACTATATACATTATATAATATATATGCAGAAGAACTTAATTATTTTTCCTAAAACCCATTTATTATTATATAATTTTTTATTAGAATTATTTTAGAAAAACAAAATAGGTGATTTAATTTATTAATCATAAAAGTTAAATGATTTAATTTAATAAAATTAAAAATACGTATCATAAATGAAAGTTGTGCAAATTTCAGTAACCCAAACAAATCAAAGGACATCTTAACTCTGAATTCCCCGGTAGCGTATTCAAATTGAAGAAAGTTTTTTTTGGGTATAATCATTGATATATGATCTATTAGATCTATTAATCGATTAATTCAAAATAAAGATGTGAAATTAGGTTGTCGTTCAAGTTTCAGTCGTATATCATGCCAAGTAAAGTTAATTCGAATATGAGTTATGTTATGTCAATTTAATGGTTCAAATCATATCAGATCGAGTTTGAGTAAAATCAGTTCGGGTCATTTCCTAGTTGATTTGAAATTAGATTTAATTCAGATTCAGGTCAGTTTAATTCCAGTTCAGGTCAAACAAGTTCGGGTCCAAATTAGTTAAATATCAAGTTAATTCAGGTTTGGAGCACTTTATACCTAGGTTTAGCTTGAAATTGAGTATGTTTAAAAGCATTTTAGGATTAGTTTATTCTTATTTTTATATATTTTTTTTTGCATTGTTAAAACTTTGGTTAACTTGGGCTAATTTCTAGATTTTCCTGCTGAAAAAGGTGCATATGTTGTAGCGAAGAAGAAAATGCTACAATAACTGATGACTCACCAGGTTGGGCAGAACCTTCTGGATCAAGGAAAGTTGGTTGGGACAGTTGTATCCGCTCCAACCAGCTGCTGCTACGTGGAGAATTTTCATTAGAGACAATTTTGACCCCCTCCACCTATAAATAGGACCTTCATCAGCTCATTTAATCATCAATTCTTCATTCTATCAGCTCTTACACGAATTCTCTTTTCTCTTTTCCATGGCTGCCTAAGCCGCTCATCTAGGGGAGTGTTACAGCATATGGGATCAGTATTCATCGAGTAGTATTGGCAGTCAGCAAGATCACTTCAGCTACTCAAAATTTGCCTGATATAGGGAAGTTTAGATAGTTGTTTTTATATACTAGTGGATGTTGAATGTTCCAAACTTAGCCATTTGGGGTGGAACCTTGTCTTTATGAATGTTATTTAATTTGCTACTTTTTGCCTTATGTTTTTGAATAGTGAAAGAGATTTCATTATTAAATATGATGTTATTTTATTTAGAGATAAATTGAATGATTTGCATGCTAATTTTGTGGCGTTGGTATTGTGAGAAGCAAATGCATGTCGAGATGAATGCTACTAAATGTTTAGCATCATTATTATGTGATTGTTTGTCTAAGTGAGGGTTGATTCATATTGATTCGTTAATAGTAATTAATGTTGAATAGATTGTAGTTAGATTAAATGCATCAATTGAGCAAGGAAACCCTTTTATCATCCCACTCTATTTGATTTCTGACTTTGTGCTATTTCCAATAATGTAGCATAACCATGCCTCCATTCCATTATATTTCTTATTTTAATATTTGTTTTATTTATATGCCAATTCAATCAACACATGTTTCTTAAACTCAATTGTAAACTTTCTGATCTATGTGGGTTCGACATTCGAAATCCCAAAAGGATTTCCACTATATTACTTGGTGATGATACATATACTTGCGTGATTGCTATAACATATTTTAGAGCATCAATGGACTTCAGCTTGAATCTCGTTCAAATTGGGTCTCATCATTAACTAGTAAAATCCAGGTCAGATCTTACCGGGTATAGATGAACATCAGGTCGAGTCATTTTTGAGTTAATTATTTTTCGTCTTTCATGAACTACGAATTGTAATTTGTAATTGTATAGGATTTGGAGTAAATAAAAAATAGAAATAATTATGGGTTAATTTTGATAAAAATATATTTTAATGACTAAATTGAACAAACGTGAAATTTAAATAAATTAAACAACACTTAGATATCAAATTGAAACATTGTAAACCGTAAAGATGAAACTAATATCAAATTGGACTAAATTGCATTAATTTTAAAAGTTGGTGATTTATAGGGTTTGGAGTAAAATACAAAAATAGAAAAATTATGGGCCAAATTCAGATAAAAATATACTTTTAAGGAGTAAATTGAACAAACGTGAAATTACAAAATGAAATTTAAATAAATCAAAGAATAAGTAAGGACCAAATTGAAACAATTGTAAAATGTAAAGCTAAAATTAATATTAAAATGGACTAAATTGCATTCATTTGAAAATTTAGTGAATAAAAAATTATAGAGTTTAGAGATTATGATATAGTTGATAGGGTTTGAAGTAATGTTTATGATGTGATTTTAGGGTTTGGAGGAAATTATAAAAAATATAAATAATTTTGTGTCGATTTCAAATAAAAATATAATTTTAAGGAAAGAATAAGTCAAAAAGTTTATCAATTTTCGCTCAACATGATGAAACCATGCTAAACAAACCAGTTTAACGTGCCACATAAATATTTCATCACTCACGTTAATGGTTGTTAACGACATGTGACTGATTTATTATAAACCAATAACGTTAGTGACCAATTTATTATAAATCGAATACATTAGTGACCAATTCATTACTTTTGAAACTTTAGTGGAGAAAACAAAAATATACTCAAACTTTAATGACCATTTATATAGTTTGTCAAAAACATTTATTTTATTGTATTAAATCTAAAATTAAAAAGAAGGAGAATGAAATCTCGCTCTCTAAAAAAACCTATTTTTAGTTGCCTGCTTATTCCTCCCTCTTATTCTCATATACATTGTGCGCCTAAAGAAAACGAATTTTTTTAATCTCAGATTCCCCCATTTCTAACCTACAAATAAAAAATCCAATAATTAATTCTAATTTTTAATTTAATAAAATCAACAATCAATAAATAAATCATTTAATAAAATTTTTTAATGGTTATAACTAATTTTTACATAATGATCATAATTAATATAAAAATTAAATTTAATAATTTAAATTTAATAATTTGTTCTTAATTTTTTTAAAAATTAATTTCTTTTAACTTTATCAATCTTAGGTTATTAATTTAATAAACTTTTTTATATATTTATAAACTAAAATTTATACATATAAAATATACATAATAATTTAATGATCATAATTAATTATGTACCTTAAATTATGAAAATGTATTTTGTAACACTATAATATCATAAATTCATAATTTTATAACTTCATCAACTGTATCTTACAAGTCAAATAAAATTTAGATTAGTTCAATAACAAGTTATATTATTTACAGGCTGAGTCAATTACATATTAGGTTAATAAAAGATCACGTTGATAACATGTCGGCTAATATTAGTTCTTTATCGGGTTAATCTTGGGTTCAGGTTCATATCATGCCGTATGCACGTCAGATTTATTTATCACATTACTAGGTTCAGTTTGAGTTCAGGTCATTCTCAGAATGAGTGCACGTTGGGTTAATATGCAAAAGTTTTAGGTCTAACTCAGGTTTAGATCAACATCAGTTCATACTAGAATTAATTTCGGATAATGACTATCTCGGGTCAAAAGTAGTTTTGACTCAAATCGGTTTCAGGAAGTTTTATAGGTCAAATTAATTTTCTACATCCCTAATTCGGATAAGTATTATAAAAGCGATGACAACTCTCATAACTTAATTTGTTACATAATAATTATTTTAATAAAAGCTGCCTCGTAACACGAGAACAATTCCCATAACCTTATTACATTGTGGAAGGTAGTCACCTGGAAAACATACATCCATATGCGAAAAATGAATGACTAATTACTAGAGGTGTTCATTCGGTTAAAACGGTGGCCGACCGAACCGAATTAACCCTAACCGAATTAATCGAATTTTTTTTTCTTTAACCATTAACCGAACCGAACTTTTTTATGAAAAAATTAACCGAACCAAACAAATTTTGGTTAATTCGGTTAATTTTCGAATTAACCGAAATTTTTTAAAATTTTTGAATTTAAAATTTTTTTAATTAAAAAGCAATTTACAATATCTAATTAATTTGATTCAAACATTATATTAAAATAAGATATTTGTATCTATCAATTTAGTTCAAAAATAGCCAACAATATTGCACTTCTACCAAATAAATCATAACAAAGTGAAGAATGCAGAAATGGAAGCATAATTCAGTATACAAACCAAACATAATTCAATATACAAACATTTTACACTTTAAGTGTTGGTGCATGAAGAAGGTTGTGCTAACTGCTAAGTTGTTTGCTGATGCTGCCATACCAACCAAGATGTTCTCTATCAAGTGCAGAATAATTCATATCTTAAGAGAACATATTACCTGCACAGTGCACAATATAAAAATAAAGAGATGCAAAATTCAGTTCGAACTATCAAAAACAATAAAAACAATCCAAGGTATAAACATCAAATATATCTATTAAGTATCAACCAATGCTAAAATTATAAGTGCTAAGCTAACTCAATCTAATGTAATACAATCTTATTTCAGGTTGATGAAGCTCTTATTAAGGTAGCAGGCCCAAAAGCTTATTTCATGCATTGTTTTCATGTTGAACGAGGAGTAGAACTGACTGACAGTGTTATTGAGGCTCCAAACTCCATTGTCTTCCCACAGGCAGAAAATCGCATGCATGCACAAAATGCTATAATGCTTCATGTTCTTGGGTTATAATTGCATGG